CCCCAATGGCACAGTGGTATGTCTGCAGACTTATACAGCTAGAAATCGGGTTTCGATACCCGTGGTGGACAGAGCACAGATAGCCCTTGTGTAGCTTTGTGCATAATTAAAACAAATAAACACAACAATCGCACCTGACCCTGGTGTTAGAAATAAATACTTGAATCTTCACTCTCCAACACTCTCTACAACACTTGTAATTTAGTTGTATTCTTTTAAAGAGAAGTGTTCGGTCTTTGATCCAAGAGAAATTTTGGGGAAAACAGAATCAGTTTAAAGCTTAACAAAGAGTGCATTATTCGCGACACACTCACTGTATGAGTCGGTTTGTGCTAGTGAGAATTATGTCTTTTTATTTTAAAACATTATCGACTCGCATAAAAATATCGGCTTGTAGTCAGAATGTTGCATTATACAATAATAATGTTTTATCTTAAGGATTTAGTAGTCTTCCATAGAGAAATACCAGACTAAAAGATAACCGAGCTTATTCTGTTAACTTGCACTAGTTTCACAATTACAGGAATTGTCTTTATTTTGAATTTCGCGCAAAGCCAAACGAGGGCTATCTGCGCTAGCCGTCCATACTTTAGCAGTGAAAGACTAGAGGGAAGGCAGCTAATCATCACCGCCAACTCTTGGGCTACTCTTTTACCAACGAATAGTGGGATTGACCGTAACAATATAACGCGCCCACGGCTGAAAGGGCTAGCATGTTCGGTGACGGGGATTCGAACCTGCGACCCTCTGATTGCGAGTCGAGCGCCCCAAACCACCTGGCCTACACGGGAAATGGAGTAAGAAAATTAAAACCAAAAATCAAATAAAATACACAGAGTATCAAAGCACCACTGTAATAAAATATACAGAGCATCAAAGCACCACTGTAATAAAATACACAGAGTATCAAAGCACCACTGTAATAAAATACACAGAGTATCAAAGCACCACTATAATAAAATACACAGAGCATCAAAGCACCACTGTAATAAAATGCACAGAGCATCAAAGCACCACTGTAATAAAATGCACAGAGCATCAAAGCACCACTGTAATAAAATGCACAGACACACGTTTTTACTGTAAATATTTACTTACGAACAAAAATAATCACTAGTCATACTCACAGAGACCTTTAACATGTTAACAGATTAAATCTCCCATGCACGTAATATCTTCAATCATCTGCCACTCCTTTCAGTACAGAGTTCAAACATACCCGCTAATCATATCATCTTATTTTTACTTTCACTCGTAAAGGCAATTACTCTGTGTAGAAATCATCTTTATTATTTTTAGCCACTAACATAGAAACTACTGCACATTTCCGATTTTAGTTCTTGTCATCTTCTTTGAAAGCGATGTATAAAAAAGTGATTTGATACCATTGAACAAAGAAGAATGGAAGATCGTTAGTTTGTAATTAAGTACAAAGCTACACAATGGGCTATCTGTGCTCTGCCCACCACGGGTATCGAAACCCAGTTTCTAGCGTTGTAAGTCCGCGGAAATACCGCTGTGCCACTGGGGGGGGGGGGCATGTATATATTTATATTGTTGGAATAACCTAAGGATGGTTATATCAGACGATAAATATATTGATATGAAAAGAACCCGTGGCTTACAAAGAGAAAATTTACTACTGACGGAAAAAAAAATGTGGTTGTATAAAAATGTGTTGTAAAATAAGAATTATTTATTCGGATAATATCTTGGGAAGAAAACCTTATTCTCTGTATTTGTTTTACAAGAAAAACAAATGTACTAGGACGTAAGAATGGCGTTCGAAACGGAAATTGTACGAGTAGGTACAAGTTTTAGAAGGAACCATAAGATGTGCGAGTACGTCTGAAAGAAAGGTTGAACTTCTACGTAGAGGTTCTTGAAGGAACAAAGAAATTTGTGTTTACACTAAAATATACTCGAAAATAGAAGGTAAACGAACAGAAAACAGGCCTACACTAAATATACTCGAAAACAGAAGGTAAACGAACAGAAAACAGGCCTACACTAAATATACTCGAAAATAGAAGGTAAACGAACAGAAAACAGGCCTACACTAAATATACTCGAAATTAGAAGGGAAACGTACAGAAAACAGGCGTACACTAAATATACTCGAAAACAGAAGGTAAACGAACAGAAAACAAGCCATGTTAAGAAAAACTTCGTGAGAAACACTTGACTTACCTGTACCATTCATGTTACGTGACATAATGCGATTTCCAAGGCATCCCGTGGGTACAAGAGAGGGTGGGGGAGCCCCGGAGGGGCCTACTCCTGGACCAGGGACAGATGTAGCTGTAGTGTCAGACGTTGATGGTACAGCACAGTGGTTCATCAACTCACGAACTTGTTCCATCGGCGGAGTTGCACAAAAGGGCTGCAAGGTGCCCATAAAAAATGGAAAGAACGCCAGAGTCAGGCACTTATAAAGCTTTAGCGCATGCGATAAAAATTATTTTAGATAAGAAATAAACAAATAAAAAGGTTCGGAAATTCTCGGTGTATCAGAAAATGATAACCTTGAGGCTTTCAAGTTTCAATAACTGCTCCAAGTAAAAAGTAGAGAGTATTGTACTACGCTGTATAACTGTTAATGTCATATATATCTCTAACAAATAAAAGTTGGAATACGTAAAAGTTCCATTTGTAAGAAAAATTGAAAGATTTTTTTTTCATCTCTCTCTCTCAAAAGATTAAGGCACACCATTCAACCAAACTGTAATTTCTCCATCTGGAAAGTTTTTCATTGACCACAAGCTCGATCACTCTACCTACATCAATTGAATTAGTCAATAAAAAAAACAGCGCACTTCTGTCTCAAAAATTTTGGTTAAAACGGTCTGACCCGCTCCAACCAATCTCTTGTTTTTCCATAAATGTTAGCACCCATCCCGCGAACTTAGCTAATCTTTCCCAGGTGATTTGTCTACAGAAAACTGCCTACAAATGCTCAGAGCAAACAGAAGCTACCGTTCCTAGTCCCAGGAACGAGGAACTGCCGTGAAGCGGTTGGGCGTCGACACACGAAGAGAAGAGGAGAAACACTGACAGAAAGGGTGAACAAGGGTTGAAGAGAGCGCAGAGCGTGCGACGCGGCTCCGCCTCATGACTGGCTGACTCACAGGTGGTTGTTGTGCTATTCTCAACTCCTACGATACATATATACAATACAAACATATTTTCCCTGTGGGTATGTCGCTATTTGCATGCGTGCATGTAAACCTGTATATAAATATGACAAATATGCATACAGAGGGAGATTTTTTCGGGCAACATTTACCACGTGCACTGGGAATTCTTTACTGTGCACCTACTATAAGAAAGGCTATCTGACGGCCAAGAGCTGTAAAGTAAAAACTGGATCTTCAACTTAGAGCAAATATATAAAGTTTAACGAACTCGCCCCTGTGAAGTACATCCTTGTGTTAGTTATGTCAGTTATTGTACTGTCTTCGCTTAATAGTACGTACAGTTTTTTTCTTCAGAATATCGAAAATGTGGACGAAAAAATATTAGCTTACGATTATTATAAAATCTTAAAAGCACACACACACACACAGATATATATATATACTTCTAATTTATATTTTGTATCTTGTTCCTTTGTTTGTTCTTAAGCACAAAGCGACAGGCTATCTGCACTGTGTCCACCAAAGGTATCGAAACCCCATTTTTACAGTTATAACCTCTCAAATTTATTCTGAGCTATCAGAGGACCACATTTTGTTTACTTGTTACAAAGAACACATGCTATCTCCAGGATCGTTACGGTAGAGAATTTCTAACAAATGTGGTATTTGTTCTTATAGCTGTCTAAATTCAAATTACTTGGAAAAGCGTAACACTCTTAACACAACATCAGTTTAATATATTTACTTTTTATTCCATACTTTAAACTCGATCTTAGTTTCTATTTGGCCTATGGTAGAAAGTGCATTTTTTATTTTTATTTTTTTGTAATTAAGCACAAAGCTACTCAATGGGCTATCTGTGCCCTGCCCACCACGGGTATCGAAACCCGGATTCTAGCGTTGTAAGTCCGCAGACATACCGCTGTGCCACTGGGGGGCGGTAGAAAGTGCAATCGAATAATGTGTTTTTTTCTGCGTAGCAGTATTAGATCAACAAATTATCACTAGACGACCTAACCGCGCGTTCAACATTCACTACAGTTCTCAGTAAACAGCTAAACAAAGACCATACGTGAGGTATTTCTCACAAAAGGTACAGATCGTGGAATAAAAACATGTGTAAGTCAATCTTTAAAAATAAAATAAAATCCATAAATTACCTTCATTAGAGTATTTTCGGATTTTTAAAAATAGATTTTTATAAAGCAAAATTTATCAAGATAAAACTATAAGTACAAATTAGAAAAATACTTGTTTATATCAACTTTACAATTGTAGTATACTGTACTAGGTATTTTCTGCTTCTTTTATTTAAATATAAAGTTTTCATTTAGAAATTGTATGTTTTTCTTAGTCTGGAACAGTTCTCTACGCAGTTCAATTTTTCAGTGCAGATCAAAACACAACTCCAGTAAAGGCGCCATCTTTCGTCGGTAAACATATTTTTTTAATTTTAGGTCCGTTCATTTGATCTCTTTTTTTTTTTAGTACATACTATAAACCTTTACATTGATCATGATGCTAAACATATAACTATTTTCATGTTTTAGAATTATCTCATGTGCAGTGAAAACGTTAACACACACACACACACAATAAGTGTTGTTTTAGCGCTAAGCTACACATTGGGTTATATGCGCTCTGCGCGTCCAGGAAATCGAACCTCGGACTTTAACATTGTAATTCTGTAAATGTACCGCTAAACCACCAAGAAATGTTTGACTGTATTCAGTAAAGATTGTTTCACATTATATCTAGAACAATTTCCTTTGCCAAACTCAGTCAAAATTCAGGAGAATACAATTAACTCTGCATATTTTCTGTTTGAACCTCCCTTTATTCTGTGACTCCTACCCGAATACTCAAAGGGTTGTTGTTGTTATTATTTTAGCGCAAAGCTACACAATGGGTTATCTGCACGGGAAATCGAACCCAGAATTTTAATATTGTAAGTCCGTGAACTTAAGTAAGTTCCATCAGGGGACTATTCAAAGGTAAATCAATTTAACTGTAAATAACATACAGTTAAAGTCTTTTATAATTTTGTTAACATTATATACAAACTTCACTACTATTAATATTAAAATTAGCATTAAATATTAAATTAAACAAATCAATAAATGTAAAACAGACGAAAAACTATAACTGAATATTCAATAATTTGCCGGAAATTCAAAATTTATAACTAATAATAATAATAAATCAGAAGATATATCAATATCGTTCAGATAACAATAAATGGTATCACAAAAATATTGAAAATTGTTTGAACACTAACTTTTCTATCAAAGTCAAAATTCTAAATGATCAAAAGTACCTTATGCACATTTTTTTTCTCTCAAAGTCAAAATTTTAAATGATCAAAAGTACCTTGTGCACATTTTTTTCTCTCAAAGTCAAAATTTTAAATGATCAAAAGTACCTTATGCACATTTTTTTCTCTCAAAGTCAAAATTTTAAATGATCAAAAGTACCTTATGCACATTTTTTTTCTCTCAAAGTCAAAATTTTAAATGATCAAAAGTACCTTGTGCACATTTTTTTCTCTCAAAGTCAAAATTTTAAATGATCAAAAGTACCTATGCACATTTTTTCTCTCAAGTCAAATTTAATGATCAAAGTACCTTATAGCACTATTTTTTTTCTCTCAAAGTCAAAATTTTAATGATACTAAAAGTACC